GTTTTTACAATAAACACAGAGATACACAGTCTTGTTTAAAATTTTTATGTGTTAGGAACATGCAAATTGTGGCCTTGAAGCTCTCTGAATTGGCATGCTCTCTCTCTCTCTCTATCACCACTCAGATGAGCACAGAAAGTTGTTTTTCTTTTTAATCACTCAGAAGGCTCCCACGTATCCTCTCCTGTTTACAAGCCCCCTGTGCCCCAAGGTAGCCACTTTAATTTAATACAGCAGGATTAGCAACAAGCAACTGATTTCCTCATCTTTTCCTCTGAGCTGGTTAGTTCATTCTGTTCACTTTTTATTTTTTATTTGTATTTATTTTACCCTTTTATTTTGTGTGTCATGTATTGACAGTGCCTTTTTTTCCTATTTCTTTTAATTTTTTCTCCTGTCTATTTATCAAGCTTAGGTTGAGGTTTTGGTTACAGTGAGATTTCTATTATTTTGATGAAAAGATTCTTGCACATATTTGACTTAACAATGCCTTAAAATGAATCAGGATTTTTATTCTTCCCTCAACCCCCCTAGGGCTTTAAAATGCTTTAATTCCAACATTTTGTCTGCATTCTTTGATATTATTTATAGCTATTTTAGTTTCACTTTATTGAAAAGAAACCCTAGATCAACTAATGCTATTTTTTTTTTCTGTAGGTAGTGCTATTTCTGATATCTTTTCTGATGTCTCTGCTGGCTGCTGCATCTCAAGTTGCCCTCTCCCCCCGACTTAGTTAACATTTTCTTCTTGCTCATAAACACTTTTTATATTTCTCACAGGAAATATACATGAATAGGAAACTCTTATATTTTTGCATCCAAGTAGGTTTGTGTAGCATGAATCTTAAAAGTTCTTTTTAATAAAATCAAACCCGAGGCCAGTTATTGGGGTCAATGCTGGTAGATCAGAGAGACAGAACAAGCCACAGCTATCTCACCTCGCCGGATCCTCAGCTGGTCTTGTTTCCTCAGACTGGAGGCCTCTGAGTCCTCATCCAAATGGCTCTCAGCTGAACTGTTGCTAGAAGCCTGAAAGCTTAACCAGCCAAATGCTTAACCAGCCAAATGCTTCTAGTTTCTGGTCCTCACACTTTATAAACCTTTCTGCTTTCTACCACCACTCCCTGGGATTAAAGGCTGCTTTCTGGGATTAAAGGCATGAGTCACCATGCCTGGTTGTTTCCAATGCAGCCTTGAACTCACAGAGATCCAGAGGGATTTCTGTCTCTGGAATGCTAGGATTAAAGGCGTGTGCTAACATTTTCTAGCCTAAGTATCTTGTGGCTTTTCAGTTCTCTGACCCCAGATAAGCTTATTAAGGTACATAATATTTTGGGGAACACAATACCACCACAGTTTGTTCTACTCTGGTGTTTACCAATGGTCAGTTTGCACTTTTGACTACCCAGTTACTTTCCCTCAGGGCTAGACCAGTTGAAGGAGTATTTATCTATCTATCTATCTATCTACCTATCTATCTATCTATCTATCTATCTATCTATCTATCTATCTATCTATCTATCTATCTATCTATTTTAAATTCTAACCTGGTAGATGGAGCAACAGCCTTTTAAGACTCATAGCATTTCAAAGGTGGCTGTTCCCAGCTCTGGTTAAAATGCACCCAAATCCAGTGGATCCTGTCCTTGGGAATAACCTTAAGAAAAGCCCTGGCTGTTTGTGTGAGGGCTCACATCATGTACTATAGCTTTGTAGATGACTATGGTTCTGCCTCCCTGTTCTGACTTTTTGTATATGTTGTTTATGTATAAGATATGATGCATAAAAGGCCACAGTGCTGAGTTTTTCATGGCAGTTTTCCTGGCATGCCATCACTAGCTTTTCCATCCCTTCTTGCTTTATTCTTACTTATACTTCACCTGACCAGCCTCTGAAAGCATTTGAACCCACCATCCTGAGTATACCAAGTATAAACCTGCCTATATTATGTTCACAAGCATTTGTGTAATATGTGGTTTGTTCATTCATTTCTCTATCTTTTGAGCACCTCTGGAAGGTTCTGTATAACGTCTGAGGTAAAACAGTAGACAAAAGGTACCAAGCACCTAATTCTGTATAGCTTATATCATAGTTACAGGGAACAAAAAGACAAATGTATCCCATTTAAGATGCATTGTGTCTCGGTCAGTGATGACTACGAAAGAAACAAGTCACTCAGGGAATGGGGTAGGGAATGCTGACAGTGGCATGGCGGCTATTTTAAATAGGCTGTTGTGGGAGCCCGTTTTCAGATTCCTCGTGGCTTTACCCAGCAGGTCCACACAGAGAGGATGATTAGGACCACGGGCCTGAGTGTAGGTATCTGAGATAGTCTGCACTTGGCTGTGCTGGGGGGAGGTCTTTTGCTCCACCCCTTGGTATCTCTATAAATACCCTGGGGCAGAGACAGTCAGGCCCGTTGGAAAAGGTTCCAGGCCCTCTCGAGGCTATCCTTTATTTTCTATCTGTTTATCTCCGTAATATAAATCCTTCTATCTAACATTTCCTGCTGCTCGCACTCAAGAAAACTCTGGGGAGCTGTGGGGTTGGTGGGTAAACGCCCCACAGGCTGTCAGGGTTGTCTTACAGATGGTGAAACACTGGATGGAGACTTAGTGGGGGACAAGCATGCTTTGCAGGGACTTGGCAGGGGAAACTTTGAGGCAGAGTTATGCGGTGATATTTTATTTGTGCTGAAATGTGGTGATATTTTATTTGTATGTTAATAAATAAAGTTTGCCTGAGGATCAGAGGAAATAGCAAGCCATTTTAAGGTAAACACAAAAGTCAGGCCGTGGTAGCACACGCCCTTAATCCTATCACTTAGCAAGCATGGTCTCTGTGTGTTCAAGGACACACTAGGGAACAGCCAAGTGTGGTGACACACGTCTTTAATCCCCGTACCAACCATAGAGATCTGAAGGTCTATACAGACAGGCAGTGACAAGGAAGTGAGGTAGCTGGGATAAGATAGCCAATAAAAGCCTGGGTAGACAGGAAGTCGTGGCATTTTGGAATCTACAGAGCTGGTGAGGTAAGGTGGTTGGTGGCTCTCACTATTTCTCTGATCTCTAAGGCTTTCACATCTATATATTAGGCTCCGTGTTTTTTATTTAATAAGACTGCTTACAAATTTGGCTACAGAGTTAGCACTAATGCAAAGACCCTGTGGCAGCAGGAGGGAGCTGACAGATTTGGCCTTAGAGTCGGGGAGAACGGCGGAACAGGGAGAACCTAGGTCAGGCTTGAAGAAGTTAATGCCGGCTGAAATGAAGAGTCCTTCTGCTTCACAGAGGAAAACATACTCTCCTGAGTTATTTGATAATTCAGGGTAAGAACAAGATTCATCTGAATCATCACTCATCTTAGCAAAGTACAGACTTGAAAGATGGAGATCACTGACATCCTTATTTCATCTGAACTACTTGATATTTCAAAAATATGACAAAAAGGAACTCGAGAGAATTGTTCTTGTAGCATCTTGGGAAGAGCAACTCGAATACGTTTATTATAGAGTACTCTTATTTCATAAGGTGTTGATACACGGATATGTACACAACACTTCTTTCCTCAACAGGAGAAGCTATTTTCTTGATGCCTTGACAACCAATATTCAATTAATTATTTGTGCAATGTACATCCTTGCAACAATTACTACATGTGGTATTCCATTGTCTTTTGCAACAGGAGAGCCCACTTCTTTGGAATTTGCAGTTTCTCTTTTCCACATCCAACTCTTACTGAGATTAGACAATTCAGGCTAGGAATCTCAGGGGTAAGAATTTCTTCTCACTGCTATTACTGATGCCATTGATGGTGATTATTCATTTCTCACATAATTGCTATGAAATAGGCACACACATGTGCAACCTGCTGGTTAGAATGGCTGAGGCCGAGAAGAAGTTGCTATGCCATTAGTAAATCTTTGGATGAATGTAATGGAGTAAGAAGAAAAATGTCCCGAGTACCTAAAAGGAAGAATGAACCAGGTTGGTAAAATCAACAAAAGACAATGCCATCCATTTCTCACATTTGCTTGCGTGGACAATTCAGAGGAGCGCATTCTTGCTTGGGTAATGTTGAAGGTCCTGTCTAGGTCTGTGATTTTCTAGAACTCTTTCTAGGAAATAGCAAACCATTTCAATTTGACTCCTTTGAAGTCATCCTTACATCATGTGCAGAAAAGAAATGAAATGAAATGAAATTGATTCCCAGAAGGAAAAGTCTTTAGCAAAATATAAGTAGGAGGTAAGAGTTGGAAGGCAGCGCTGAGGCAGTGCCAGAGGGATGGGGTTTAGTTTTGTCTGAGTCGATTTGACTAAATAATCTGTGGTGGAATCACAACCTAAATGTGGACTCACTCTCAGGTAACTTAAACAGTAGTTTATTCAGCAAGACATGATTTGTGAAGAGAGGAGGGTGTAAGACAACGCAAAGTTACAGTGGAACTGCGACACCCTGAGTCAGAGAGGCCGCAAGGAGAGTCCTTAATGCATAGGAGTGCTTGGAGAAATTGAGGGAAGACTTAAGAAGGACTCGACAGAAGGGATTTTGATAGAGGGAAGGAAGGGGGAACTCTGAGTGGGAGGAATAACTTACGAAGGGCCACATGTGGGGATGACTATCATCTATTCAGGCAACAGGAGGGAACCAACTTGGTCGAAGTAGAGAGTTGATGGAATTAAGGGAAGATGAGGATATGGGAGCAAGTCTGGCTGGAATACAGTGTGAAGAGAGACTTGAATCCGATTGAGTAATCTACATTTTTGTCAAAGAAGGAAATCTATGAGCGGTTTCAGTGAAGATGGTGGACTAAGAGCCTCCAATAATACTCTCCTCCATAAAACCAATGGGGAAAATGGCATTGCTATCCACCAGAAGAGCTCTGGAAGTTAAAAAAGCATGAAGCAACCCGAAGTTGAGACAATTGGATGAATCAGTAGATCGTGTTCTTTCTGGCGTGTGAGCCTGCCTTAACCTCATTTCCTTCTCTTCAGCTTTGTGATACCATCACTAAGCAGCAACTCATGACCAGAATGAAAGCCAGTCGCTTGACTATGCCATAGGAAAACACATGTGGCTGGATTCCTTCAAAGCCTCACTGCTAGAGAACGGCTATCATTGGACATGCCTTAGGATTCTCTGGAACACCTTCCTTTAACTCTGAGCCTGCCTGGGGTGGTGAAACAGGTAAGCCAAATGCTTAAGGAGAGGAAATGAGATGTCCACAGGCACTTTGCAAATCTCTGACATCATCTTGGGATTTACAAAGTCACTGGAAGTACAGGCTGTGTATGTTTCCAATGCTCTGAACATGGTCAGCAAAGATCTGCAAGGGTCCCATGCTTTCAGCCTTGTCTGATCTTGAGGTTCTGTGAAGACATAAAATGAGTTGTTATTTATTCAGCTGAATGTAGATGCTATGCCCCAAAGTACCATCTGTCACTTGAAATCAGAACAGTTTTTGTCTCCCAGCATTTAGAAACTCTCTGTCCAGTAGTTAGGTTATAAATAAATCCATTGAACAAAAAGGCCAGTGTCTAAAACATAAACAATAGATCTAGTAGAATTAGTTCACAGAGGCCATCAAACAGACAGTTACCAAAAACAGAACAACAATACCAGAGAGAGCATTGACTCAGAGACTGAACATTTCCACATTATAGAATTAAAATGAAGTCACGACTGTAGCAGACTTTCTTTGGAGCAACCAACCAGCTCCCAAATCATGACATGGAGATTTATTAGTTTTGAATGCTCAGCCTCAGCTTAGCTCTTATTTTCATCTGTTTCTCTTTATCTACATTTTAACTCAGGGCTTTGTACCCTCTCTCTCTCTCTCTCTCTCTCTCTCTCTCTCTCTCTCTCTCTCTCTCTCTCTTTCTCTCTCTCTCTCTGTCCGTATATCTTATTTTCCTGCTGTCTCCATGTCTGGCTTGCAGCTGCCTGACTTCGGCCCCAGCATGTCCCTCTCTTTCTCCCCTGTTCTCTCCTCCTCCTCTTCTCTTGAGCCTGTATTTCCCCACCTACTTATTCTCTCTGCTCACCAGCCTTGCCTATCCCTCACCTGCCTAGCTATTGGCCATTCAGCTTTTTTATTAGACCAATCAGGTACCTTAGGCAGGCAAGGTGAAACAAATGCAATACATCTTTACATAATTAAACAAACGCAGCACAAACAAATGTAACACATATTTACATAGTTAAACAAATGCAACATAAACAAATGTAACACATCTTTACATAGTTAAAATAATATTCCACAACACATGACTAGATCCACAACTCTGCTAAAAAATAAATAAAAATCATGAACAGAAACTGGCCTTGATGAAGCTCAGACTTTGGGATTATTAAACAAATACTTTTAGTAATTTAAAATTTGTTCTATGAACTAAAATAAGGTATGAATAATTAAAGAAGTGAGAATGATGTCTCACTGAATAGAGAGTGTCAGGAAAGAGAAACATGTATTGTTTGACATTTCTTCTCATTTTTTAGAGGAATATTTATTACGGCTCATAGTTTGAGTGTATAGTCCATCATGGTTGGGGAAGGAATGGAGGTAGGTAGCTCCATGGCAGTGGGTATATGCATCTGGGACTCCTTCACATCCCAGTGAAGCAGGAAGTAGAGTTAAGACAGGAAGCAGGGGCCAACTATGAACCTGAGGGCCTAACCCAGTAACCAATTTCCTCCAGTGGGGACCTCACCTTCCAAAGGTTTTACAACCACCAAAAACAGTGACAACAAGTTGAGGAGCAAGTGTTCAAACACAGGAGCCTGCAGAGGAAATTTCATACTCAATAATATTTTGTCCCTGTTCCCCAAAAGGTGTATGGACATCTCATAATGCAAAATGTGCTTTTGGTCCAACTTTAAAATTCCAACACTATTAAAAAGTCCAAATTCTTTTTTCAGACTCAAGGCAATCTCTTAATTGTAGGTTCCTATAAAATGACAAAACAAACAAGTTACATATTTTAGAGTATAATGGCACAGACTAAACATTGTCATTTCAAAAGGGAGAAATAAAGGCTCTAGCAAGAAGGTAACAGACTAAAGAAACAAGCTGGGAAAAATTAAACCCTGCAGCGTCATGTCTGGCATCTGAGATCCTTGGTAAAATTATCTGGGCTCCAACAGGCTCGGGGAGCCCCACCCTTTCAGCTTCGTAGCCTGCACCACATGTGGCCTTTTTTCTGGGTTGACTCAGCGCTGAAGCCTTCTGAGCAAATGCACCATATTCCAGGCATCTCTGGTATCCTGGTGTCTCCACTGGAACTTTAGCCCCACCTTCACAACGGCATGAACAGCCTATCCAGAAGCTCTATGCCCAGAACCCAACCTTGCTAAACATTGCCTACCTATAAAGGTCCTTTACTCTTGCACTTCCCATGCCAATGAAACTAGCACCTGATCAATGACACCAAGTCCTACTACCAGCTTGAGATATGGCTTTGCTGCTTTGGACCATAGGTACAGTGTCCTCCTGTTCTTTCATAGTTGAAGCTGGGAAGGCTTTTCTCTAGGCAAGAAGGGCGCTCTGGAAACTCTGTTCAGGAACTCTATTTTTAAATGAATTTCCCAAATGAGTCCAACTTATTATTCTTTGGAGTTTTTGAGAGATGTGGTCTTTCTCTTAGTGCATTTTTCCTACTCCTTCAGTGCCAAGTGTGAGGTTTGTACTTACTGATACTATCACTTTAATAATTATAGCTGTTCTGTCAGCAAGGGTCTTGTCCACTTGTCTGAAACATAACCGTACTCATGCTCCTCTCTTGGCTAAACTACACATTTTCTCATATTTCTGCTCTGCCTTTGCTTTGAGTTCTTACTCTAAGTCTCACTGAAGGCAGATGGCAAACAACCATGCTACAGACTTGTTACCATGCTGTTATGAAATTTCCTCCACCGAACAGCTTAGTCCTTGACTTTTGAATTTAGCCTCACTCAGGGAAGAGTGTAGACAGATGCTTTGCCAGAATGTGACATGAATGGTTCTAATTCTAATGGAGCGCTTGTCCTTTCTTAAGCTTTATGCACAGGGCTCCTGCTGTCCACATTTTCATCACTTTTCTGGTCTACTGAACACTTTTTGGAACAGCCTGTTAGGCTCTGCCTACAGCATTCAAGAGCTTTTGTATTGTGAAACTCTGAAATCTTTATCCCCTTTCCTGTAAGCCAGTTGAACCACATGGCTATGCGGCTTATGATCCGTACGGTTAATTTTATTATGGCAACAACCTCACTCTTGGTACCAGTTTTCTGCATTCATTGTTTTTCTGATTGCTGACATAGTATGCAAACTTAAGGGAGGAAGGATTTATTTTGAATCACATTTTGAGGGTCTATCCCATCATGTCTGGGAAGGCATGATAGCTCTATGGTAATGGGAACATCCGGCTGAGACATCTTACTCCTCAGGTTTCATTAGAATAAGAGACTGCTGTTTTTATGGTTCCTTGGAATACCTCTGATACATACACCCCCCCCCCCCCACACACACCCCCACACACACAGAGGGAGGGAGGGAGGGAGGGAGGGAGGGAGGGAGGGAGAGAGAGAGAGAGAGAGAGAGAGAGAGAGAGAGAGAGAGAGAGAGAGAGGCTAGGGTTCAAATAACTACTGGGATTTTAAAGTAGACTTCAGAAGGCAGAAGCAATCACCAGAAACTTGAAGATAGGTTAACTGAGACTACTTAGTAAAACTCATAGAAAAGAATGAAGGAAAATAAGTAGAGCCTGAGAGAACTTTGGGATACCATTAACTTTATCAAAATACCCATAATAACAGACCCAGAATAGAAAAGCAATAAGATCAGAAAAAATATTTAAAGAAATAATGACTTGAGACTTCCCAAATTTGATGAAAAACATTAATCTGAAAACCTGATAAGCTTGGTGACATTGGTGTGGATTAACTGAAAAAGGTCTTCATCTAGAAATGGTCTAATCAACCTGCTGATAGCCAGACAAGGAGACAGTCTTGAGATCAGTGAAGAGGAAGCAGCTCATCATGTACAACTGTGGTTCTTATTCAACTCATCACTGATTTGAGATTAGAGGCTCCCAGGGTGGGGGTGGGGGTGGGCTGAAGCAGTGGGAAGACATTTTAGGGGGCTCAAATAAAGACTTTCAACAAGAATTCCATGTCCACTAAAACTATCACTTTAAAGTTAAAGATAAATTAACATATTGTCTTACACAAAAATGAAAGGCATTTGTCTCTGGTGAATCTCTTGTGAAAGAAACATTAAAGAGTTGGCCTGGTGCAATAACTCAGCAGGAAAGGTGCTTGCCCCACACGTCTGTTAATTTGATGTCTTCAACCCATCTAAAGGTAGGAGACAAGAACAAACTCCACAAGCTGTCATCAACATCCATGTGCCATAGCACCCCGCACCAAGAACATAGACAATAGTAATACATTTTTAAAAATTAAAGTAAGTGTCAGAGTCCCTCACGCTGACATTACATGAATTAGACAAGAACTTGAATACATATGAGAAAACAGCATCAGTTAAAGCAATAAAAAAGATTATATAAATACAGTTTTTGTTACTTTCTCCTGTATGACTTAAAGGAAACTTCATAGAGCAATAATTGAGTAATAGAGTAAAACTTCATAGGGTAAAAATTATATATATATATGTGTGTGTGTGTGTGTGTGTGTGTGTGTGTGTGTGTGTGTGTTATGGTCACACAGTAGATAAGGGTGCAGTTTGTGTGAAAATATCCTGGAGGGAAGTAGACAGAGCTGGACAGAATTGAAGTTTTTTTTTTATAGTATTAAAACTAACTTGATATTAATCCAAATTAGATTACTGAAAGTGAAGATGGTAATTGTTCTCTTCTGGGAAAGTCTAAGAAGTCAAGATGTGATTTTTATTTTATTTTGCTACTTCTACTCACACTTTACTAGAGATAATAGCCAGATAATTGTGTAAGAAACAAATAAAAAGCATGAATACTGGAAAAGAAGAATTTGGCTTATCTTTGCAGACCACATGCTTTTATTTGTAATGCATTCCAAGAAATCACCAAAAAGCCCGTGAAAACTAAAAAGGTCAGCAAGTTTGCAGGGTACAAAATCAATATATTAAACCAGTCGTGTCTTTTCACATTGGCAATAAACAACCAAGAATTCAAATAAACCAATTCCATTTACAATAGCATAAGAAAAAGAGA